GATGCAGCAAGCTGGACCAAGGCCGTGACAATTGAAATATTTGGCAGCTGCACTTTATTTCTTCAATCGTCTGGATGTGCAGCTTTGTTCAACTCAAAACAATTTGGACCTCCTTGCAACCATTTAAGAGTCTAGATTCACATTTAATTTCTTTTTGTGGCCATGAGATGCATTGTCCAATGATAAATTCCAGCCACCACAAGTACTAAACAGCAAGCAAACAATGCAAACATATTAGAACACTCAAACAGCAATCACTGGACTGACATAGGAGAGTAAAAAAATTACTGGGAGCAGTACAGAAATAATTTGAACAAAGTAAAAACTATACGTGAAAATAGACATCTAGACGAAACTATGAAAAAAAATTGCATGGAAAACGGATAAGAATTGAACTCAAACGAGGTCACACAAGTCGACACAACATTCACGCAGCACTGTGCGAAAATTGAAATGACTGAGATGCATAGGGCTCAATTGCCATTTCTCATTTAACCTTCAAATGTCCCAAAAAGTTATCCAAAATTTTCCCATAATTAATAATGCAAAATAATAAGCTCAGATAATTCAAATTAGTTAAAATAAGAATTACCGATCAAATTAAGCACAATTAGGAAAAACAGGAAAATACCGGACGTTTAAGCATAATTCCCAGACTAATTCTAGCACATTAAACTAAGTGAAGTGAGAAAAATATTGGCTCATCACCCGCCACCAAGGTAAGGATCATAGCGAGGTCGGCTCGTGTAGAACCATAAACCGTCCGGTCCCGGCCGGTCGAGCAACGACACTTCATCCGTTCACAGCGACGGTTATGGAGGAACAAATTTTAGAAAGAGCATTCCCAGTCCTGGAGAAGTATGATGGATCAGGCGATCCAGAGGAACACTTGAGGTCTTTCGTCGATGCTATGACCATCTACTCCCCCAACGAAAATGTGTGGTGTAGAGTCCTTTCCTTATCAATAAAGGGAGAAGCATTAGCATGGTTCCATTCTCTTAGACCCCAAACCATCAACGATTTCGCAATCCTGAGGGACATGTTTGAACGGTAGTTTCTGCCAGTAAAGCTCAAAATTTAACGTACCTGGAGTTGACAAATAATAAGCAGGAGAAGGGAGAAAGTTTCAGAGATTTCATGGAACGGTTCAATAAAACCGCGCGGCAAGTAAGGGGAGTAGGCAAGAAATTTACCATTAGCACTCTGGCCACGGCGTTGAGGCCTTCCCCTTTCGTGGATAATCTGTTTACAGAACTCCCGATAACCCTGGATGAGTTGCAAGAAAAAGCAGCAAGGTTCATCAGAATAGAGGAGATGAGGGTTGTTCAAAGGCGACAACATGAACAAAATTCAACTTCAGAACAAGAGAAGAAAGAAGGGAAGAAGCCGTTCGTACCTAGCGAGCGCCCAAAAGGCCAGAAATACAGAGATGGTCCAAAAGGGCCCAGATTCGAAAAATATACTCCGTTGAACATGCCAAGGTCTAGAGTCTTGGAAGAAGCCTTGAGTGCTGATCTTATTCGTTTAAGACCCTCTCGGTTGTCAACAACGGCCAACGGGACTAAACATTGTACCTATCATCTAAATATAGGACATACCACTGAAGATTGCACGGTGTTGAGAGATAAGGTGGAAGAACTGATTCGGGCAGGCCATCTGAGAAAGTTTGTGAAGGAGGAACGGAGGACGAGAAGTCCACCGAGGAAGACTAGGATGGAACGAAATGATAGAAGAGATGATAGACGCCCGGATCGCAGGCGAAGTAGAAGTCGTAACCACGACGGATCACTGCGCGGCGCAATAAACACTATTTTTGGAGGTTTTGCTAGAGGGCCATCAGCGTCAGCAAGGAAGAGAAACCTGAGGGAGTTAAAGAGTGTTCATCGAGTAGATGTGAGGAAGCACTCAATGTCGCCAATCACATTCACCGATGAAGATTTTCATGCTCCTGATCCTGATCAAGATGATCCGATGGTAATAACAGCTATTATCACTCGGTACAACGTGGGGAAGGTTTTGATAGATCAGGGAAGCTCTGTTAATATTTTTTACTGGAAGATATTCCAACAGATGGATTAATCAGAGGATCTGATAGCTCCGTATAACGAGCAGATAGTAGGATTTTTTGGAGAAAGGGTGGATACAAGAGGATATGTGGATTTAAGAACCTGCCTGGGGATCGAGCGGAATGATAAAGAGTTCCAGACCAGGTTTTTGCTGGGAGAAGCAAACACAACCTACAATGTGTTGTTGGGCAAACCTTGCCTAAATGCATTTGAGGCGATTGTTTCCACGCCCCACCTCACACTTAAGTTTCCGTCGGATAGGGGAATTATTTGTACCGTCCGGACATATCAGAGGATCGCTAGAGAATGTTATGTAGCAGGGTTGAAGGTTCAGCCATCCTCTTCTAGACAGAGGATAAGACGATTAGAGGTGGCCATGGCAGACTTGGATCCAAGAACTAATACCGATGACCGGATGGAACCAATGGGAGAAACAAGGCCTTTCAGCCTGGGGCGTAAGGAGGAACAAGTCACTAAAGCTTCCATCCACCTCAATAACACTGCAAGCAACCTCTTTACTTGTTCCTCTTTTCTTCATCATTTGTTTAACACCCTCCAAATCTCTCCACCTTTGCTCCGTAGCATACATGTTTCTCAACATCACATAGTTTCCCGCAACATCCTCATCCATTTTCACCACCTCTTTAAGAACTTTCTCTGCCCTCGATACATCATTGAAGTAAACACAAACAAAGAGAAAAGAACTCAGTATTATCCCGTTAGCATCATAAGGCATGGCTTGAATTAATTTTTCAGCCTCATCCAGGCATCCAGCTCTTCCTAGAAGGTCAACCACACAACCATAATGCTCAATCTCAGGCACAATTCCAAATCTCTCCATTTCGTTGAACCATCTTCTTCCTTCCTCCACCAAACCACAATGGTTGCAAGCAGATAGTACACTAATCATAGTTACCTCATTTGGTCCAAACCCTTCTTCCATCATCCTAGCAAACACCTCCAATGCTTCCTTGGCACAGCCATTGACTGCAAAACCATTTATCAAAGCATTCCACGAAGCCGTTTCCCTCTCATTCATCTCCTCAAAAACCAATTTCGCTTTCATAATTTCACCATATTTTGCGTACATATCAATCAAAGCAGTGCCAACACGAATAGACCTATCAAACTTTTTCCTTTGGGCAAACCTGTGAATCCAGCCCCCCAAATCCAACGCACCCAAATCAGCCGCAGCGGGAAGAACACACAAAACAGTTACCTCATCTGGCTCCACCAATATCGTTGGCATTTCACGAAACAACTCCAACGCTTCATGAGATCTTCTATTCTGGCAACAGCCTCCAATCATGGCATTCCAAGTAAACAAATTTTTATCCGGCATAACGTCAAACATCAACCTAGCATTTTCAACATCACCATTACCACAATACCCAGAAATCATACTAGTCCAAGAAACCACGTTCCTCTCCTCCATCTCATCAAACAACTCCCTCGCCAAATCCACACATCCCGTCTTTACATACCCATCAATCATTGCGTTGAAAGCAACAACGTCCCGATCCTCCATCTCATCGAAAAGCCTCCTAGCCTCACCTATATTCCCACACCTCGCATACCCCACAATAACCGCGGTCCACGAAACCATGCTCTTTACAGACATTTCATCAAACACCTTCTTGGCATCATCCAAAATCCGAAACTTCACATACATATCCACCAAAGCACTTGACACGTACAAATCAAAGCAAAGCCCGTTTCTTAAAACCACCCCGTGAAGCTGCGAACCCTCCCGCCTGGCCACACGAGCCGAGCAACCCTTCACGAGCGAGGTGAAGGTGTACCCATCAGGCGTAAAAGGCGGTGTTTTGCGGCGAAGGTCTCGGAAGAGGGTGAAAGGCTCGGAGAACTGGCGAGCCGCGAAGTGAGTAGCGATCATGGAGTTGCAGAGGAAGGTGTCGCGGATGCGGACGAGGTCGAAGAAGGAGCGCGCGTGTTGTACGAGCGCGTGATGGCGCGTAGGGGAGACGACGGCGAGGGAGGCGCAGGTGGTGATGAAAGCGGTGAGGAGGTTGAGGTTGTTGTGGAAAGAATGTCGGAGCATAAAGGCGTGGATTTGAAGAAGGGTGGTAACGCTCTTTGTCTTGCATTGGAGAAGGTTTAAGCATCTTCTCTCTGCGTTGCTCCATAGGGTTCTTTGTGGAAGTTGGTATTCATCTCCCATTATTCTTCCTTCT